CGGGCCGGGGCGCGCCGACGGCAGGCGGGAGCCGGGCGGCGGCCGGGCGGTGCTCTCCCGCCGCCTGAGTGGGCGCGGCGCGGGACGGCGGCGCGGGGTGCCGGGAGCCATGGGCTATTGCAGCGGCCGGTGCACGCTGGTGGCGGTGTGCGGCGCGCAGCTGGTGAGTGGCGGCGGGGGCGGCCCGCGGAGGGAGGGAGGGAGGAATGGTGGGTGGGAGGTGGCGGGGCGGTTGGGCGGCTCCCCTGTGCCCGGAGAGGTGTCCGGGGGCACTGCCCGCGTCCTGAGGTCGGCGCGGGGAGAGGCGGGCGGGCGGGTAGGAGATGGGGCTGCGTTACAGGTAGTTCGGCGCGGCTAGAGCTGGGCGGGCGCGCGGCGGAGTTAATAAAGTCGGGCATTTGTGGCAGCCTGATCTCAACTTGGTGCCCGCTCTGCCGCCCCGCGCTCGGTCTTATGCACTGCGTGGCCGGGGCCATGTCACGCGTGGTGCGTGGCTGGCGGGCAGTGTGCCGTACAGGTGTGTGCGTGGGAAGTTGCTCTGTCTCTTCTGCAGATGTGTATTTTTGTGTCTTTCAGACTTAGCGGTGCGTGCTAACACTTTATCGTTAGGCTGTTACGGAACGGAGCAGATTATATCTTTATACTCACATATACAGGGGACATGTGGCAGTATTTGTAGGCTCTGCTGCCAGGCAAAACTAGACTGAGTTTGAAAAGTGAGCGCTGAAATACAATAACAAAGAAACTGCCTAAAAATAAACCCGCTTCCAAGGTGTGCACACGACATGCAGTGGTACTGTAGCACTTTCAAAGTGACTGCGTTTAAAGTTAATGAACTGCAGGAATGTCTCTTCTAGTAACATGTACCTGGATTAGTATCATCCACTCTGGTACATGATGTATGGCATTCCTATGGATTTGGAGGCTGTGACACATGGCTAAAGAGCATTCCTTCTTTTCTTGAGACCTTTAGTGTGGATGTACTGGCAGCACTGGTACAGACAGCACTTCTGTTAAGCAGTTAACCTTATTGCAGAAAGGAAATAATTTGCATTGCCCCATTCATCCCCTTCGTACTGAATAGTAGAGCTGAGGAGTGTTGGTCTCAATAGCAACCGGCATTGTCACCAATCCTTCTGCAGACAGGTGCTAAGAGAACTACAGAAGAGAAAACCCGATGGGTTTCAGGGACCAAAATGAGTGCAAAAAAGGATAAGGTGTTAGCAGATCAGAAACCCCAAATGCCTGTGGTCTTCCTACTGGCTGTAATCGGCCCTTAATCCCTTTGTGTTCCAGAAAGCATTTTATTTCTAGGTTCTGTTCTCCACCTAAGTTGTCTGATTCTTTGTAACTAGATGGATCTTATCAGATGTGATTTATTCATGCACACTGTCTAAAAAATGAATCTTAAATAGAAGTAGTGAATCTCAAGTAGAATGGCAGGAATGTAACCTTTTCCAGCAATTTAGAAACATAAAATTAATCACTGAAGTTCTTTAAAGCCATTTAAGTTTTAGAAGCATACTTTTCATGTTTTCTGCAAAGAGAACAAAAATGGCTTAAATAGTGCCTTGTGTGGCTAAAAGGCTGTGTTTGAAATGCAGTCAACAGCCAGGAGATTATGACAAAGGTGGAATGTGCTAAGATGTTCAAATGTTATTGTTTTGGGAGCCTGTGAAGGCAAATGTATTTGCTAACTCACGGTGATAAAAATACATAAAAAACGGTGGTGAAGACGTAAACAGAAATGCCCCACAGGAATATACCAGCAGGTGGACGAGCAGGTAAGCTGATGTAGAACTCTAGCATTATTGTAAGCTTTTTATAAGTGGTCGTGAGCTGCAGTGTCATATATATATATATAGCTGGAGTTAGGATTGTCTTCTGAGTAGCTTGAGCAAACTTCTAATGCAAAGATGTTTTCATGAACTGAAAACAAACCTGGGAAGGTTTCCTGGGTGCAAAAAGAACATGCTAGCAGCAACACACATCTCTGAGTCACATCTGGCTTCTGTCATGGCATTTAAAAAGGTCCAAAGCAAGAATAATCATTTACTTGGGGGGGAAAAAAATACCTCTTTGCACTTGTTGTATTCTTGATGGTATATTACCATAAACCATCAGATTTCAGGTTTTAAGTTAAGGAGGTTTAACTCTCACACGTAGGCCTGAGGTTGGTTGATCATTTATCACTTCTTTTTAGGTGAAGTCTGCTTGAAGGAGAAATGCTGCTAAGGCTCACCCTGGAATTAGCAGCCATGTTAATACTAATGTAAAACAAAGGATGAAGATGTCATCTGGGTGATGAGCACTTCTATAGTGATAAGGATACTTAAAAACAAAACAAAACAAACAAGCAAACAAACAAACAAACAAAAAAACACAAACAAAAAGCAACCTAGAACTTCTTACAGGAAAACCTTTTATTACTAATACATGGATTTCAATTTTTAAATGATCATCCAAAGCAGAAAATATACCTTTATTTGAGGGGAAAAAAAAACTTTTATTTAATTTTAATTTAATTTAATTGTTTTTTGTGAAAAGGTATTCTTCCATTTCTGCAGTGCTAGGGCATGGTGGTAGTGTGACTGGTCTTTGTAGTAACAAGAAGTAGTATTGAGGGATACTGCAGCTCATTGGAGACATTGTTGCACATCATATTCACAGAGGATGCAGATGTCCATGAATGTGCAAAAAAAGATTGTTTCAAATCCTGGTTCAGAAGTAGAGCTTCATCAACTTAGGGGAGTCCCTGCACAAGCAAAATTATTTTCGTAAATGCATTTTATGTGCTCCTAGCTGATGCGACATACTCTACAATTTGATTATCGGAAAGCTTGAGGAATGTTTCTTCTCTCAAGGGCATACTGATCATTGCTCCCCTGCTTATTAACATACATATACCTTCCTATTTGTGCACTCATTTGTACTATGGAAAACAACCTACGACAGCTCATTTTCCTCTGTATTTCAAGCCAATGAGAAGAATTAACAGCAAGTAACAGCTAATTTTGCTGATGTTGGGAACAAGGCATTTCTTTCTGTACACAATGTTAATGACCTCAAAGTATCTTTTCAGTTTTAAAATATATTAATCTTGGTCTCTCTTATCCTTTGTCCTTCTAAAGGGAACCCTGGACATAGGGGCTCTGCTGCTTTTTGTTGTTGTGTCAGCCATCCTGGTTGCACTGAGAGAATCCTTTGCTGTTTCATTTTGTCCTTTATATCTCTTTATTTTTGGGTTTCTCTCTTTGTATTAATAGCTTAAATCAGTAACACTAATATCTGTTTGTCAGACTTCTTATTGGCAAGAACAGCAAAGGTGAACCTGCCATGATTATTGTTGATTTGGTGCTTTCTTAAAAGCTTCAAGAGCCCCATGGAAGCCAGTCAGAAACTCTTAGTGTCCTCTGTGACTGCTTGGGAAAACATGGAGCAGTAGCAAAAAAGGCAAAGTACTGCATTTTCTCAGCTTAGAAGCTCTCTTTCCAAGTGGAATGGTGAGAAAGGGTAATATTTCCAAAGGAAACTTTGGAAAATCTTCATGAATCATTATCTTATTGTTTCTATCCATCAAGCGAGGTCTTTCATTATTATTATTACTATTATTATTATTATTATTAAAGTAAATTGTAACTCAGTTCAGATATAGAAGCTAAGCATTACAGCCGATGAAATTTGTAACCAAGCTGCATACATATCAAGGCTCAGCTGATGATTGTGAGGGATTTAATTGTATGCTCTGAAGGAGCATGTACTACAACAGGCACAATTTCCCCAAATTCTGAAAATTGGTGCTTTCTACAGGCAAAGATTTACAAAGTTTGAAGTCTCCTTTTCCTCACCAACAGCTCGTGTTTGGGATATAATCTCACCTGACACTTTACCAGATTGCCCCTGGGTGACCTCTTCCAGAAGCCACCATCTGAGATGTATAGTAGCTAAGCAGAACGATGAAGGCCCCAAGTTTGATTGCCCCAGTCTTTAGTTTTGCTTTGAGCTAAGAAAAAATGATCAAAAGTCTAACAAGTTGCATGGGAATGTACTTGTTTTGTACTCTTTCACGAATGAATACTATCAATTAAGAGTGTATTCAAGTACTTTATTTCAAAAACTGTATCTTATGAAGTGATTTCTATACTTTCCTGTGGTACCAGTATCCATAACCACATATTTAGTTACCTTGTTGCACATGAGGGCACACTTGATCTGCTTTCATCATGTTTCAAAAATAAGCAGCAAATATCTGTGTTCTTTTTTTTTTTTTTTTTTTCCCCCCATTGGTGGTAAAATTTTTTAATTTTTTTTTTTTTTTTTTTTTTTTGTGGTTTTTTTTTTTTTTTTTTTTTTTTTCCTCCCGGCGTCATCAGCTTTTGTTTGTTTATAATCTGAGTGTTTGAAACCAAGGTAAAAGTCTTCAAAAATGGTGATCTTGGCAGGTTCTCATCTATTTCACAAACCTACCTACAATGCTTGCTACTACTTTATACTATGAATAGTCTTGCTTGGATGTTAAAACTCACATTTCAACAGTTTGCAGATTGAATTATCTCTGAACCTTCAGGGAGTGAGATTTGGCAGATTAGAGCCAGGGTCCCTCAGAAAGCAAAGTAAACACATTCATAGCAGAGATTCTCTAGCATTAGCTGCTCTACAGTTTTGTAGTTTTATGTTTATTAACATCTCTTTTTAATGTAGACTCTTAAACCTTGCTTATCACTAGAGCACTTTCCAAATGAACTTAACTAGCATGTAGAGTTTTTTGGTTTTTTTTTAATTTTTATTTTTACAGTGGGAAAAATTTTGGTGTTTGCTTCCAATTGCTGAGTTTCAGGGAGTGTTGTGTTTCTTTTTCTGTGTGCTTGTTTTTTTAATTGTGTTTCATTGTCGCTGTTGCCAATGGTTTTCAATAGCAGCTTTAGAAGAAAAGGGTCTGCAGTAGAAAATTGTGATGACGTGTACATGTTCCTACATTTTCTGCTGGCACCAGGGGTATTAAAGAAATGAGCTTCACAAGTGGAAGGGAAAGTGATTATGTTATTCCTCTTAGCCTGTAGATCTGGAGGTTTATCAATCTAGAAAGAGTGTAGAAAGAATTGTTGTCTCCATTTTGGAGACAACACTTAAAAAGTACTTACTTTTAAGTCCCTGCCTGCCTTT